TCCTAACATATATATATAGAACACTCCATGACCTAAAATCGTGCCTCAGGTTCTTGGAGTTCATATGAGGCGATTTTTTGTGCAAGACATTCTCTCACAAAATTCATCATTTGTCTAAGGTGTGTTGTGATTCCATTTGATGCATTCATATTATTGGTGTTAAGTTCTTAAAGTCCAACACTACAAGCTACAACAAAGAGGTAATTCTATTACTCATTTCTATGATGTTTATATCAATTGTATGTTAGTTGTAGGCTTAAAGCTTTGGAAACAATATTGCATGTATAGTTAGAGAAAAATATAAATCCAAAGCTTGTAGGGTTGTATGTGCACCATAGGATGTTGTAGTATACAAAACCCAACACCTATATACCAGGATATAGATCTAACATATCGATACATCATAATAGCATCCTATATACCAGGATACACAATCTAGTGAGTCGGCATTAGTGCCTTCAACCCATGAGTACAGTGAGGAAAACTCGCCTCTCAATCTGAAAAGATCGTTGAACAGGAAAAAGCTACGAATATCAGCTCTATTGGTCACCTATTCGTCAAATAATGAACAATCTCAAATACAACTTTCCACACCCCCGAACCGTTAGAACAGACGGTGGAAACGTCCGGGGGCGGGTGACGTCATGCGTAGTATCACAACAATCGTAATATAGCAATCAAAGTAAACACAACTAATACATTATAGTATGAATATTTATATATGTTTGAAAACATAGTTTGTATACGTCAAAAGTAGCAAAAGATAAAGACGAGACTCCAAAATGCTCTGTCTTCTCCAAAAGATGGCAAAGGGACCTATCTATCGTTGTTCTGAGAATACAAGCGGGTTTGAAAACATATCAGCATAAAGCTTGTGAGTTCATAAGCATGTTTTTGTATTGAAAACTAGTCAATGAATTTGTATAAATGATTTCTTTTCATTCTAAGTAAAATATCATTTGTATCAAAACCCTGGTCAATAACCAGTAAGTAAGATGTGTTACGTTTGAAAACCCTGGCTACCACTAGTAATTGATGTATGTTCGGTGGAAAACCCTGGCTATCACCAGTTTGTAAGGTACTTTTATTACTTAAAATAAAACCAAAGTTTGTATCCCTGGAATACCCTCCAGTGTAGTATGTAGGTAGTCTTATTAATTAAAATAAAACTACTGAAGAAGGAAAATCCCGTAAACAAAGGTTAGTTATACTATTATGAGTTCGTATAGCCATGCTAATGTAACTAATGACCTCCGCGACGTTTCTTCAAGCGTCGTATGTTACAAAATTTGTCACCCCAGGCATGTTTGCCTAACTGTAACTAACAGTTCAGGTGTGGGATTGTCGATCCCGAATAGATCTATTCACAAATTTCACGCTCTCCCTTCAGGAGACTCTGGATATACTAAATGTAGAGGATTTTCCAGTACCCCAAATGGTACGATGAAGAGATGTCTCACAATCCTATAGTAACTAGTTTACGTGTTTTTCTGTTGTTCTCGTGTTCGAAATCGTTTTATACGGTGTAGAGTAAAAATAATTATTTAGCAAAATAATCTTGTTTTCTGTATGTAGTAATGGATAAACTAAATCTAGCGTAGTTTATGTGTTTGACTTTGTACGAAGTTTAAATCTATAAAACTGGTAATGAATTCCCCAAACTATACCTATTATAGTTTGACTGGTAAGTTGTGTTCATGTACTATTCTGAAAACTATGCAATTTTGTTTAGAAAAACGTCCCTTACGCTCCGCATATTACAAAAGAGATAAAGTATCTAAATGTTTGGTGTAAAACCGTTGTAATTGCATCAGTTTTTAAGTTGTGAAAACCTTTATGTTTGGCTTGTATTCCCCCCTAAAAATGTGTTAAAAAACTATAAAAGTGTAGGAGTATGAACTCACAGTTGGTTGGATGCAACGGATTGAACTGGACGATCCTTGAGTTGATGTATGTTGCACTTAACGGAATCCTAATATCACATAAATACATATATGTATCTAAATTAGTGATTTCATTAGATAAAGTGTTAGATAAACACTTGGTTTTGGTTAAGGAATGTTACCGGGACTTGGTTGGATCGAGGAAAACAGGCTTTTCCCCACGAAAGAGTTGTTTACGAGTGTATATGGAGTTTACGGCCATGAATGGAGTTTACGGCCGAGAACCGGGTTTACGGCCGAGAACCGGGTTTACGGCCGTGAACTAGGTTTGCGGTTTTTGAAGATCTGGGGGACTATGGCCGTAAACTCAAGAACAAGAGTGTTGGTTGTCGACTAAAAAGTGTTCCAGAGGCTCCCAAACGGCCCTAAATGATGATTTCCGACGTTTTTCGAGTGAAAGGAGGGTTTTATAGAGTATACAGTCAAGAGGTTTAGAGAGAGAAAGTGGGTGTTTTCGGCCAAGAAGGTTCAAATGAGGGTGGGGGTCTTGTATTTATAGGCCAGGGGTATGGTCGGTGGTGGGGTCCACCAGACACTGACCGTAAACAGTGTTTACGGCCGTACACGAGTTTACGGCCGTAAACTCGTCCTGGCCAAGAACTCGGTGTTTTTCGAGGAATCGTAAGTTTTTCGCATGATTTTTGGTTTTCCGACTCATATGTAATTATAACTATAACCTTAGTTGATTTACTTAACCCAAGAGGTTGATGGGAAATAGATAAAAATTAAATTTTATTAATGGATGTGGGTTAAAAATAACGGAAGAAATTTCAGGTTGTCACACAACTCAAAATACCCTTAAGTCAAACTTGATCAAACCTTGGTCAAAGTAAAAATCAATCCAAACTCAAAAGTCCCACAGCCACTTGTCACGTCGTAACCCTCTAGAAGAAAAGATCGTTGAACAAGACAAAGCTCTGAATATCAGCTCTACCGGTCACCTATTCGCCAAATAATGACCAATCTCAAATACGACTCAAAATACCCTTAAGTCAAACTTGGTCAAACCCTAAGCAAAGTCAAAATCAATCCACACTCGAAAGTCTCATAGCCACTCATCACCTCGTAACCCTCTAGCGGTCACATCGGTGCTTCAGCTCACTGCACGCAACATACCATTTGGTACGCCCGGTGTATTGCGGCTGGCCCCATTTTCTCTTCAAATAAGCTTATTCCATTAAGACATTCCACCCAAACACAGATCTAGCCTAAAAACATTAATCTAAATGGTAAAGTTTCCATTTTTATGACTTTCCATGACTAGACAATGCCCAAAAGCTAAAACCCTAACTCTATAATCCATTTAGACACTTCAACTCTTGCATGGAGGGAAAAGAAGGGCCAAGATCACATTTTTATAAGTTTAAACACTCCAAAACATCCAAAAGGACAACTCATTTAGTTTAGAGAAATCCATACTCACTTAGACCAAGAATGTGAGACTAAAAAGTAGAAAACTTCATAGCTAGCAAGATCTAAGCAACTAGCTTATCAAGGTTCGATCTTTATACCTCCAAATGATGCTTGAGGGTGAGGTGTTTTTGGATCTAAGTGGTCTTGATCTTCCAAAGTGGTTCTTTAATCTTCTCCTTGCTTTAATGACACCAAAACACACACTTTTCAAGCTCAAAATGCACACACAAAAGATTAGGGTTTGCTATGGACGAAATGAGGGGTAGGGAGGGAAAAAGATCTTAGAAGTTAATGATGCTTAAATAGAGTCCAAACCTAAATATTAGTGTTTGAACATCCACCACGTACGCCCAGCATATGCATGCAGCTCGTGTTTCTCATTTAAGTGCCACTTAAGACCACTTTTCAAACAAATTACATAATAAGAGTTAAGATTGTAAATTACCTTAATAATGTGTGTGTTCAGAGAGAGAGAGAGAGAGAGAGAGAGAGAGAGAGAGAGAGATTAATAAATTGTAATGAACCGATCTCTAGCTTCATTCTTAAGCTCGAATCGAGCTCGAGCTTGAGCTTCTTAAAAATTAAAAGCACCAAGATCGAGCTTGTTTGGGATGAACCTCATTTACACCTTACTAAAAAACTCAATGTCAACTGAATTTTTTCAAAATTGACAAGTTTGGTCCCTTAAACTTCAAAATTTTCATCTTTACCTTCTAATTCATCTTGAAAGTTTTAGAATTTTTTTTTTTTTGTATATTTGGATTTTATTTATTTTATTAACTTCAACTATTATTATTTATTTAGTTATTTATTATTATCTTTAGTATTTAACTCATTTAAAAGGTTAGACTTTTAACATCCAAAATACAGATATTTCTTTCTGGTTTTAAAAAGATGAAATATTTCTTTCTTGTCTTTTCTTGTCTTAAAAAGATGAAAACTTCAAGTTGGCTGATTTCAATCGAACTAAAATTTAATATAAAATTAGGAATTAACATTGTTCTTTTAATTCGGCTTTTCACCAAAACCAAAATGGAACCAAAATTTTCAAATTTCAGTTCAGAAAAGAGAAAGATTAAAATATTTGGGTTCGCCTAGCTCACTCATAAGCAAAAGTCTGATAATTTGACGTTAGAATAAAATTTAACATGATTCAGTTTTTCACAAAAACTAAAATCGAACAAAAAAATCAGTTCTTTACTTTGAAAGTTCTTTTATAAAAAAGCTTTAGTTTGAGCTTTTTCACTTTTCAAAGCTTTCAACCTATTGAAAAAGCTGTTTTTTCTTTTTTTTTTTTTTAAACTACTGAAAAACCTCTTAAAAAACTCCTATTGTGTACACCTAAAACATTACAAGGATTTCTTCAAGAGCAAAAGTCCCAAGTGAATCCACAAAATATAACCCTTCGACACCTACCAATTTAGCATCCCAAACACTAGAATAAAACAGAATCAGATCCCAATTCCAACACACCCCCTATAAAACTAACAACCAATAAAAAAAAAAAAGCAAAGAAACTCAAAAGAGATTATAAAATTGCATTAAAAAAAAAAACCGTTGAAATAGCATACGTGAAAACGATAACTCCCAACTTTCTGCCTACAAACATAATAAACTCTCTTCGATATGGGCAACATTTTTGTACAGTCACAAAACTACCACACCTTTTTTTCCTTTCCAGTCATCTTTACACCTCTTTCAAGAACAAACACACTGTCATCATCATCATCATCATTATACTGCCTCTGCATTAGCATCAGGAGTCTTACAAAAAGACCCCCAAAGCGTCTCAGATTCTTATAAACTATGTATATAAACCTTAAAAAACTACAGAATTTACAGTTTTCACGTACAAGCAAACTTTATTTGCAAATTGGCCCCTTATCTATTAGAGCCTCTTTCTTCTACTAGAAGAGGAGAAAGACAGAGTGATGAAAAAGGGTAGCTCAAACTAGCCTTCGTTAGCTGTACAACTTCGTTTCCTATGCCTCCCCTCCTCCTCTTATGTTGCATGTAGCAACTGTGCAGCAATTCTCCTTTCTGCAATCAACAACATAACTCCATCATCATTATTATTATTATTATTATGTAATACAAAGAAATTAAAAACAAACAAAAAAATAAAATAAAATAAAATACCTCCAGCAGCAACAAGTTTCTCTACACGAGCTACAATATGTTTTCCATATGTGTATTTTTTAAGCGCATTCAAATGAACCTTAATTCTAGACAATATGTGCTCACGTTCTTGGTCACTACAAGTTTCAAGTACTTTTTGCACCACGTAATTTGCAAATTGGTCCTTCATCATTGCCTGAATACAAAAAGAAACCCAAACATTACACATAACTCAAAAAAATACATGAAACTTCATAATAAATGAAAATGGAGGGATTAAAAAATAAAATAAAAAACCTGAAGAGGCTCGTTTTCATCAGTAGTACCAAGCATCTCATTCACAAGCAGCTGGCGTTCACTAGCATCACCAAAAGTCAAACATTTTTCAACAACATTTGATGCAAACTTCTGTTGACTCATTTGTACAATTTTCCCAGCTAATTCTTGAATTATTATCGATCGTTCATTCGGTTTTCCATGTTCCAACACATGCTGTTTCAAGAAACTTATAAGCATAGGATTTCAAGAAAAAATCAACGATATTCAAATTTAAAACAAAGCTAAAAATCACCTGAACAACATAATTTCCATACTGATCTTGTGCTAGCATGCTTACACAGTTGAGTATTTCATCCATCACCTTGCTCTGTGTTTTTGGATCCTCACAGTGCTCAAGCACCCTCTGAAAATCACCAAAAGTTTATTAATATTCTCAATTACTTGAAGAAAATCAAAAGTTATAACAAAGATTATTACTATTTCTAACCTGTATGACACGACACCCATAAGGATGGGTTGAAAGGGTGACAACTTGATCATAGAAAGTTGTTATAATGAACTGAATGTGATCTTCAGGAACACATTCAATGCATTTTTGAATAACATGATTCCCGTTTTGGTCACGGACACATCGCATGATGTGGCCATCAAGTTCCTCCACCATCTTGATCTTTTGGTCCATGTCAACAACTTCAATTGCCTATCAAAAAGATTAGGTTAATTCCCAATTCTTAATCTCTCGTTCCATTTCATTATGTAATGGAAATGGAATGCGCGATTCCATTCCTTGTGTGATTCCCGCGTACCAAAACATTACCTTTTGAATAACTCGGCAGCCATACATTTGAAGGCTAAGTGTCAAAACATGTCCCATTAGCTTCCCAGCCAATTCCCTTCTTTGTCCTTGCATTCCATGCTCAAAGAACTGAAACAAACAACAATCAACCAATCAAAAAAAAGATGGATTTTTCCTGTTGTAATTCGAAAAAAAATATATATATATATATATATATTTTTCACAAAACCTTTTGAATCACATAATTTCCAAACACATCAGTCATCAAAGTTAGAGCCTGAGGAAAAATCTCCTGAAACACCATGTTTTTGTCTTCTGTAGTTGCAGTTTCAAGTTTCTGTTGAATGAAACGGCTTCCATACTGGTCCGCACTAATGAAATAATTAAAAAAAAAAAAAAATCAAATAAAAACTTTTCATGAATAAAAATAAAAAGAAAAGAAATTGTATTTTTGTATGGAAATACCTGAACTCAACAACATGACCTGTGATTTCAGAAAGCTCAAAACACTTTGTTTTATTACTCTTAAACTCTTCTAACAAAGAAGAAGCAAAAGTATTATCACCACCATCTAAATGCCAATGTCCCATCACACCACTTCCCCCACCTAAATTTCTCATTTGAGGAGAGTATCGTGTGTTAAGTTCACCAAGCCTAATTGGGCTTCCGGGCCCACCCGGAGAGTTGGGCAGTGGGCTTGCTAACGGGCTACCCGGATACGATAACCCAACCCCAAAACCCGGGTTCCCATAATACCCATGATGATGTGGACTAGCAGATGCCCCTACATATTGAACACCTCCATACTGTGATTTTTGAGGGGACAATAAAGTTCCTAAATATGCTTTTTGAAGGAGTTCGGTGTATGAATTCCCGAGGTTGTAATTCCGGTCAATAGTCGGGTCATTCAGGGCAGCGATTTGGGCAGCAGCGGCGTATTCGGTTGATCTTAAGTACTGGAGATACATCGGGTCCATGAAAGAAGCTTGGAGTGCGTTTCCAGTCATTTGGTTTCCCATTCTGTTCATGGCTTGTGATTCCAAAGTGAATCGCGATTCCATTCCGGGGTACGCCATGGCGGAAGCTGCTGCTGCGGTTTCAAAAAGTGGCGGGAGGTTTATGTTTCCGTGCTGATTGGACATCATTTGTGGTGAGTTTATAGAGTATCCACCGTCGAATTGCAAGTTACTTGAAGATCCATCAAAGTACAAGTTATTATTCTTGTTATTTTTCTGATTCCGATGATAAAAAGCATTCTGATCATCGGAATTAGGCTCATCAATCACACCGTTCGAGAGATTCATGGCGGAAAGAGCGTTGACCAAGTCAGATTGTTCTTTGGGGTGAGAAGTGGGCCCATTGAATAAGTTTGGGCTATTAGGGTTTCTTCTATCGGGCGGGTTGACCCGCCCACCACCTATTGGGGTAGGGATGGGGCTAGGTACCCTAGCAATGTGTTGGGGGTCAGGGGTGGTGCTTCTTGATAAAGAAGCACCTAACGCTGCAGCATAAGAGTATGAGGTTGGTGGGCCCTTTGTGCCATGTGGCTGTGCCAGCTCAGCATCTACTGGACCAAGGGTTTCATCTGGATTTTCAAATGCAGTACGGCTGGCGGGTCGAGACGGGTGTCCGGAATGTGGAGCGGATCGGCTCAAATCATCCTGCATAAATAACCACATTTTAGTTCTTTCACTGGAATGGAATTGACAGGTAAAGGAATTAGTGATTACATTCCATGATATGTTTGGTTGGTAAAATTTTATATTATATGTAAACACATTAAAAATTACTTAATAAAAATGGTTATATTGCATATCCAAACAACCCATATGTGAAAACATCAAAAACTGACACCCCATGAGCAATGGTTTTCTACCTCATACAAGCATAATGTTAACATTGGTAATAACTGAAGCTCATTTTATGTGATATACATCAAAAATTGTAATAAATAAATAATTACCTGGAAAATTTCAGCAAGGCTCTTTTGTTTACTACCTAATCCTAAACCAGGCAAACCGATCAACCCATCGCCGCCCCACTCAGCTGAAACCTTGACTTTCTCGGCATCGGAGTTATCATTCTCCTGTTTCTTTGAGTTAAAACCAGGCGGCATAGAAAAAAGCGACATACCGCCGCCGCCACTTCCGCTGCCACCGCCGCCGTCGGTCCTATTTGCTTTCCTTCTATCTCCGATCCCGCCCAACCCAGAACTTCCACCGCCCTGCAACCTCTGAGTAAACCGCCAATCTTCTTTAGACAATAGTGGTGGTGGCAATCTAGGGTTTAAATTCACGTTTGAATAATAGTAAGATAAGTATGCTGGGTCAGCCCTGAGTTCTTCCTCGGACGTGAATCCATTGCCGCCGGCGAATTCAGAGAAAGGTAGACCGTTGTTTTGGCCATGATTAGTGTTAAATAGACCACCGACTGCACTTAACGAACCCTCTACGGTGGGCGGTGCTGAGCCACTCCGATACATGTTTAGCTCCTTTTCACGATCATCGGCTTCACGTCTTTGTTCACGTAGCAACAATCCTATCTCCTCGAATTCGTCTCCGAATGAACCATCGCCGCCGCCACTGATCATAGGTCTCCTACCCAATTCGGATAACATCTTGACAGATGAAATTATGCCTTCATAGCGCAAAGAGTAATACAAAAACTATGCAAATTATACAAGGAAAGGAAAAATGATTCACAAAATTAAGAAACTCAGATGATTACACAGAGAAATTATGTCGGCTTACAATATAAAATCGAATCTTTGATCACTCACGCACCGCAAACCCTAAAAACCCTAAACAAAACAAAATTAAGGAATATAATTTGAACACCAAAGAGGCTAAAAATCAGCACTCAAAACCCATAAAGATCGAAACTTCGATCAAAAAACAGAACAGCTGAAACACGCTTACACCTTGAACAAAAAATTTCGATGATCAAAGAACAAAGACGAATGGAAAACAAAAAAGAACAATTTTTGGCAACATGTTCAACTGGTTTCACATTGGATTGCAAAAACAGCAACTTCGGAGAAAAGGGTTGCCAAAAAACAAGAAATATTTAGGTAAATGAAAACCGATGGTGATGAAGGTTCTGTTTGAGTTACATGTATCAAGAAAAACTGAGAGCAAGAAGTGAAAGAGATCGATCCGGCGGCGAATTGGTTCTTACAAAGAACCCCTTTAGGGTTTTGTTTTTCAACTACTCACTACTCTGAAGAGATTAAATACAGTAACTTGGGTTTTTTCTTTTTTTCTTTTTTGTTTATAATATTTTTTTTCATAATTTTTATTTTTGGAACTTTAGTTGTGTCTGGATCTGGGCTATAATTTGTTCGTAGGAAGTGATAAATCAGTAAAGGAATATAATTTTGGCAGGGGCTTGATTGACCAAGTGACAAATATCTTCTAATAGATAGATAAGAGAAACATGGTATTCTTCTAATTTATATCCATTTTAAGATGTTAAAAATTAAAAAACATGGTACTCTTATATTGGAATTTTACAATGTAATGTATTATAATTTATTAGTCGATCAACCAAAAATTATATTATATAATTATTGTTATGATTTTGAAGTTAAGCATCCAAAATATGTTATGATGATGAAATAAGACCTATTTTTCATAAACTGTTTTCTTAAAGTACCTTTCAAAATGGTAATTGATGCTTAAAATTTTACCAAGTATAACCAATTTTATGTTTTACATATTTAAATATCAAATTCATTTTTGTTTTCGATTTATCATTAAAGTTTTTCAGATCGTACAAAAAAAATATTAGTAAAACCAGTTTTTGTAAATAAAATATATTTATTGAATCACTATGAAACATCCCAAATATGTAGTCTAAAAATTTCAATTTTAATCATTAATAAAAACCATAAGTATCATTCATCATATAAAAATCATAAATCGTGTATCTCAAAAATATCGTAACATCTGTCAATATATCAAAATCATATGTTAAAATATTAGAGTAAATCTTCCTAAGCTAAAACGATGTGGTGTTTGTTTTGCAGTCATTTCAAGCTCTTCCCCTTACTAGCGGAAGTATCTGAAAAGAAAACTGAAAACTATAAGCATGAAACTTAGTGATTCTCCTCAAACCACTACATACCATACGCATAATCACATAAACATATAACACATAACTTGGGCCTAGCCCACTACATCGAGGCCCCACCTGCCATCAAACCGAAGTCTGACATCAGGCCCCGCCCGGCATCGGACCAAAGTCTGATATACATATACATATCAACAAGCATATAACATAAGCACATACCATAAAAATATAAACATTCCTTGGGCTTTCCCCGGCATCGGATCGAAGCCGGGAACCTATAACACATAACATATAAGTTAAACATTCATCGGGTTTGTCCTGGCATCGGACCGAAGCCCCGAACATATAAACATACACATGCAAGAATCACGAAGACATCATGCATACAAACATTCTTCGGGCTTGCCCCGACATCGGACCAAAGTCTGAAAACATATAACCTTCATCGGGCTAGCTCCGGCATCGGACTTAAGTCTAGCATACGCTAACATACATAAACGGGTTGGCATTGGTGTCTTCAACCCGTTCCTACTATAGGAAAACTCACCTCTCAAAGCTGATTGTGAAATCTCATGGTGAGAAATCCCTAACTGTTGCTCCAACGGCTCCCCGTCTATCATTATCACAATAACACATAGTCAAAATCCAGTAATCCTTCTTAGGGTAAAATTACCACTTTACCCCCTGGACAACGACCAATAAATAAAATGTCACCGAGTGATGATGAAATGACATCTACTATGAGATGACATCTACTTATTATATGTCATTTCAAGAGTATGTATATGGTGAACGGAATTTAGTCCCTTCCCCGGTACGGGACCATTTTAGGAGACAAGATGAATCATTCTCCAGTATATCGTCTAGTGGTCGCTCTCACGGTAGAGGTGGACGTAGTGGGAAACCTTGGTTAGAGGAGGTGTTGAAATGACTACATGCACTGGAGCAACAAGTGTTTATGAACCGATAACCTACCGAGGTGTTTGTGGAAGAAGTGAATAATGAATATTTATGGAAGAACATCAGTTTTGAGGAACCTGCAGTATTTCAAACAAATTTTGTTGAAACAGTTAGCTACACGCTACATATTTTATATTTACATAATTTGTTAACATATTTGAAAATTTTTGTTAATATTTTATAACTGAAAATGTAGGTTGTAGAAGATGAGGCGTTGAATAAAAATAAAACAAATGAAAATGTTTTTGTTGATAATGAAGACGACAAGGTTATATATATATACTCCTACATTAAAAGTAAGACATTATAATTATTAATGAAAGACACCTTAACATTTAACAATTAAAATCGTGATTGTAATATATATATATATATATATATATATATATATATATATATATATATATATATATATTACAATCACGATTTTAATTGTTAAATGTTAAGGTGTCTTTCATTAATAATTATAATGTCTTACTTTTAATGTAGGAGTTAGAGGAGAGGATAGACAATGCAGATCATAGTATGAATAAATTTGATGATGATGTGTTTGATAATTATGATAATCAAGTTGAAGAAGTTGTTATACTTAGATTTATTTATTTTGTTTTTTAGTAGATTCATACATTTTATAATTAAAGATTATTTCTTATTAATTTAGGTGTTGGAGGAAGATTTAATAATTACATGGAATGTAAATCATTTTGATGATTATGTTTTTGATGACAACGAAGTTACACCCGATAAACGATGGCCCAAAAGCCATCACAGTATATGCGTACTCCTTACACCGAGGTATTCGTTGAATTTAAATGCTTATATCTTAATTATACATTTTTTTTGAATTATTTGAAACAAAGAGGTTTAAACATTTCAATATTGTTTTAGTTTCACACGACATCAAAGCAAAAAAAAAAAAGACCAAAGAAGAAGGTTGATGCCAAATCTACAAGCCCCGTTCCTCCTCCAGCATTTGCTATTGATCATGACTTCTCGGTGTTACGCCTGCAACCTTTTGTAGCAGGTGGTGAGGTTGTGATACAAAATTATTTATTTCATGCATATAAGGTGCAACACCGTTTCTACAATTTGGTATTAGATAAAGATTTTTGGAATGCATTGTTTGGGCATACACATGACGGATGGTTGGACAGAGCGGTAAAATGGTTTTTCATTTGTTATTGTAATTGTTTTTTATTTATTAGTTAATAACAAAACTATCATAACTTTTGCAACATATGAACATTTGGTATAGACTATTGATGGAAAGACGATTTGATAGTGGCCGACATACAATAATGCCTCCAAATTTTTTTGTTTCCCATGATCTTGAGGATGGTTACAATTAGAGGGCGTTTATGTCTAGTACTGCTACATACCCCAACTTCATGGTTGCTTGGTAGAATGTGGATACGGTAAACTGAATTTTAAATTTTGAAATTAATTTTATTATTGTCGTTTTGTTTTTGTATTGTGATATGTAAAAAAAAAAAAATAAAAAAAAAAAAAATTTAACCTTGTATAGGTTTTAATGTCGATTCATTCATTCCCTAATCACTGGTTATTTGGGGAACTACAATTGGAGTTAGTGGACGTCCATCTTTATGAGAGTATCGGTAGGGGGCTTATGAAAAATTCAATTCTGATGGAACCTTTACCAAATTTGAAGCTCGGGTGACAGATAATTTAGACAAGATTAACTACTGGGCACGGAGGAACATCCTAAGGATTCCATTGAATATGAAATTTATTGTGGAAAACAATGTTCCCCAACAAAGTAGTTATTTGGGAGATTGCGGTGTTTTTGTTTGTATGTTTATGGAACAATTAGTTTCAGGACAACCAATACGTCAACTTACTGACCCAAGAAACGCAGCTTTAGAGTTTCACCAAATGATGGCAAAATTTTATTGGGGGTCGGGTCTTGGTCCTATGTAGTTGGATTATATATATATATATATATATATATATATATATATATATATATATATGTGTGTGTGTGTGTGTGTGTGTATGTGTAATTGAATGTTGGATTTGTTTATTAATCGTTTAATGTTACAACTACAAACGACTACCCTCAATTGTACCCGGAACTAAGTTGTCAAGTCAAACAATATTCTTTTCTGTTGTCAACCGGTGCGTTGCCTTGTCAAGTCAAACAGTTTCTTTTATGTTGTCATCCGGTGCAATGCTTTGTCAAGTCAAACATTTTTTTTCTGTTGTTAATAGATACACTTTAAGTTTGACTATGAAATGTAAACCATTTATAAAATCTGACTGCGATTTTAACTACAAAATACTATAAAATTAGTTTCAGTAATAAAATATATTAATAAAGCGATATATTAGTTCTTCATATATTCATTCTATTTATCTCACTAAAAATGACTTCAATACCATGGACCGACGAAGAGTACTTGGTTCTTAGTCATGCATATATTCATGTGTACGAGACCAACAAGTTGAACGATCCAATGTTCTAGACTCGTTTAACTAATATCTTAAACGCTTAAACTCAAACGACTGTAGCAAACCGTCGTGACAATCTAGATATAGCAGCAAAATGGTATGAAATGAAAACTGAAATTTTATTATTCAACAAACTTTATACCAAAATTGACGACGCTCATTTAAATACTACTGAGGAGGTCATCTTTGAAGCTGCTAATAAGGAATACAAATCATTAAGTGACGGGTTGGAATTCCAATATGAAAGCCCCTTGGAATATTTTGAAGTATGTCCCATTTATTTAATATGTATTTATATCTATTAGGTTTATACTAGGTTATTTAATATGTATGTCTATCTATTAGGTTGGTACTAGGTTATTTAATATGTATTTCTGTCAATTAGGTTTATACTAAGCTATTTAAATGTATTTCGTATGTATTAGATGTACCACCTCTTTTAAATGTGTATTAGGTTTGTACTAAGTTGTTTAAATGTATTTCATATATATTATATGTATTTCATTACATTACATTACAAATACGTTAGAAATGACAATTCCATGAAGCATTGCAAATATATTGCAAATAAGAAATTTTCATAATAATAGAGTCGTTACATGACACGTTAAAAATAAAAACATTACAAATACATGAACATTACACTTAAAACATATTACTAGAGCCATCTACATGAAACATTACACTTAAAACATAATATTATAGCCGACTACATGAAACAATACACTTAAATCATTATGAAAATGAATTTTTCATAATAGCATAACGGTCTACTTGAAATATTGATTATTCGTAACAAGCTTCCAAACGTCCTCATATTTGAAGTCTCTGTCTTCATGCTCTAGTACGTAAAAGTCTTTAACAACTTCCATAAAATCTTCCTCGTCTCGATAAGGAGTTTTCGACAT